AAAGTCTGACAAATATTTATTTCAGTGTTCAGAATAGTCAATATTCAGACAAATAATTCCAGCATTTTAAAATGCCTTACCAAAATATTGCCAATAAAGTTTAAAAATCCAATCTTTCTATATTTTAAAGATTTTGCACACTCCCTTTAGTTCCTTTTTATTCAGGTCTATAATTTTTCTCTTTGTAATTATTCACTGCTTTGACAAGCATTTAAGAGTCTTTCTTCCAAGGTTTATTTTCTTTGGGGTTAGGTTCTAGGTAAAAAAAGAATCACCTCACCCAGTTTCAATCACTGTTCATCTGCACTCCCCCAGCTTCACAGCAGCCATAATGACTGCCTCTCCTCTTCGCCGTTGGATGGGAGGGAATCCCTGGGTCCAGCTGGAGAGCCGCTGCTCTCCGTGACCTGCAGGGTGCCCCTCCTTTCTTCATTACTCCTACAGGGTGACTTTAGCCCCTTGGGGGGGCCCTTCAACAAGGAAGATTCGGTGTGAGTTCGTGGAGCCCCGCTTCTCGCTTCCAATCTTGCCACGACGTCAAACCGGAAGTCCTTAATACCATTTCTTATCAATTATTGTCTGGTTAAATATAATTTAAAATTTAAAAATATAAATATACAATCAGTCTATCTTCCCACAAAGTCCAGATGAAAATGGTGTCTGATTAAGTGCGATAAATCCATTTTCCTTCAGTTCGCCTGAGGAAAACCAATTTATCACTTCTCCATTCAATCATGCTTCTGCTGTTATAAAAGAACGCAGACTTGAACTTTAGAGAGGTTTATGCAATCAACACAGTTAGTTGTAAGTCTGTACAGTCCTTAGCTCTTTCCAATGGGTTTGCAACCTTCAAATCACTTTCCTTTTGTGAATCTAATTCATCAAGCTCCATGCATCTGCATATTTTCCATAGCCATTATCATTTCATCAAACTTTTTAAAAAACCTTTCAACTAAAAATTGCATGTTACCAAATGATCTTTTTGCAGCTATCACCCACCCTTGTTCAACTGTAATCTAATACATTATTGATCTGTGTAACTTAGCCAGGAAACTAAGAACACTGAAGCAAAGTGAATGAATGAATGAATGAATGAATGAATGAATGAATGAACAAACAAACAAACAAACAAACAAATAAAAAAACATGGAAGATATTTTCTGGATATTTGAGCCTAGATTAATTTTTTTTTTAAAAAGCTCTAAATACAATGCATTCAAAAAGTATTCAGACCCCCTTCACTTTTGTCAATGTTGTTATGCTGCAGCCTGATTCTACATTTGTTGAAATTCTTTTTCTTATTAATCTACACTCAGTACCCTATAATGACAAAGTGAAAACAGAATTTTAGAAATGTCTGTAAATTTATTGAAAAGAAAAGTGAAATATCACATTGACATAAGTATTCAGACCCTTCACTCAATACTTTGTTGAAGCACCTTTGGCAGCAATTACAGCCTCAAGTCTTTTTGGATATCATGCGACAAGCTTTGCACACCTGGATTGGGGGATTTTCTGCCATTCTTCCTTGCAAATCCTCTCAAGCTCAAGTCAGGTTGGATGGCGACTGTCAGTGGACAGACATCTTCAGGTCCCTCCAGAGATATTCAATAGGGTTCAAACCAGGGCTCTCTGATTGGACCACTCTAGGACATTCATAGAGTTGTCCCCAAGCAACTCCTGTGTTGTCTTGGCTGTGTGCTTAGGATTGTTGACATGTTGGAAAGTGAACCTTCAGGCCAGTCTGAGGTCCTGAGCACTGAAGCAGGTTTTCATTGAGGATATCCCTGTACTTTGCTCCTCCAGTCAGCTTTCCCTCAACCCTCAGTCCCTGCTGCTAAAAAACACCCCCACAGCATGATGCTGCCACCACCATGCTTCACTGTTTGAATGATATTGGGCAGGTGCCTGGTTTCCTCCAGACATAACATTCAGAATTGAGGCCAAACAGTTCAATCTTGGTTTCATCAGACCAGAGAATCTTGTTCCTCACAGTCTGAGAGTCCTTCAGGTGCTTTTTTTTTTTCCAAAACTCCAAGCGGGCTTTCATTTGTTTTGCACTGAGGAGAGGCTGTCATAAAGCCCAGATTGGCGGAGGACTGCAGTGATGGTTGTCCTTTTGGAACTCTGTCCCTCTCCACACAGGATCTCTGGAGCTCAGTCATAGTGACCATCAGGTTCTTGGTCACCTTTCTTACTGTGAGGTCTTACTGTGAGAGGTGTGTGCCTTTCCAAATCACGTCCAATCAATTCAATTTACCACAGGTGGACTCCAATCAAGGCGTAGAAACATGTCAGCAACTGTCAAGGGAAATGGGAGGCACCTGAGCTAAATTTCAAGTGTTGTTGCAAAGGTTCTGAATACTTATGCCAATGTTGATATTTCAGTTTTTTTTTCTTTTTAATGCTTTTTACAGACATTTCTAAAGTTCTGTTTTCCCTTTGTCATTATAGGGTACTGAGTGTAGATTAATGAGGAAAAAAAGAATTTCAACAACTGTAGAATCAGGCTGCAGCATAACAACATTGACAAAAGTGAAGGGGGTCTGAATACTTTCAGAATGCACTGTATTTTGCAAATTTATAAAATGCAAAAACCATGTGGTGACAGTCCAATATTAATGTAAATCAAATAAAAGAACACACTGTTTCCTTATGGAAAGGCAAAAGTTATTCAAAACAACATAAACCAAAGGGAAAAAGAAAAAGAAAAGCAGCTAGAGTCCAGCAGGGGGTTAAAATAAATCAGCATTCAACCGACCAGTCAACTTTTAAAGATAAAAAGCAGAGTAAAATAGAAGATCCAAAAAGTGAAGTTAAAACCCAGCATGCTTAAGAAAACGAACTGCTGAGAGGAAGATGGATAACCAGTGACTTTCCAACCACTCCCACCAGGAAATGGAATCTTCAAGACTCCCCAGGTGGGTCCATGGTCGCCCAAAAGTCACCTTGGGTCATTCCTAAGTGCTCCAATTTACATCCAGGGAGCATCACTGTGAGAAAGCCAGCTTTTGGCAGCAAAAACAGCAGATTGTCAGCAAGAGAGAAAAAAACCCTTACCATTCAGAAGCCATCTTGGGGAGGAGTCCACAACCCTGGCTTTATTTTACTTATTTATTTATGAGTTTATGAGTTTATAATCCTGTCTTTACAATACATAGTTGTCCTGTTGTTAGTCCTAGTATAGTAGAAATTGTGATATTTGTTAGATTTTTGTTTATATATCCATTCTTGATTTTCAACTATAAATACCTTGTGCATATTTTATTTTAATTTTAATCCTTTTATTATTTTGTGCAACTGAAGTTCTTTCCTATTTTCCCCACAACAACAACCACCCAATGAGATGGTTTGGGCTATGATAAAACGTGTGACCCAAAGTTACCCAACTGGGTTCATTTCAGTTATATAATGCTAACAAATCAGAGTTTGTGTTTGCAGTCTTCCCCACAGTACCTTGGCTTGACTTTGCCTGTTGAGTGCAGAGTTTGAGAATTTAACATTACTTCATGTCAACCAAGTAAATGTAATAAAACAGACAGTGATTGCAGCAATCTTATATCTTATATTTTATTTATTCCTTAATACTGAAAAACATCTTGGGTGGTAGGAAAATTATTAATGATTGATTTCTGTTAGTACGTTAATCATGTTTTAATACTCCCAGAACCTACCCCAGTCAGGTCAGAATTGCATCACGCTATAGTAGGTTACATGTAATCCTTGAGTTATGAATGTAATGGAGCCTGCCAATTATGTTCGTAAATCAAGAGGATTTTAAGTGAATCTTGTTAAGTGAACGAGCCTCTATCCCTGCTCACTCCTATGCATTCGTTAAACAATGAGCGGGTTGTTAGAATATGAGGTGCCTTGGGTGTGTTGCCTCCTAAGGCCTCCCCCCCCCCCCGAGATACCCCATGCTCTGCTTCCTACCACTTGGGTCTCCTCCCCACCCATCACCGATTGCTCACTTACCTTTCCAAGATCCCCAGGGCTAAAGAGGTTGGAGTACGGAAGGAGAAATGTGCTCCATTGCTGGGCCATGTGGCAGAGTTCCAGAAGCAGCTGTTTTTTTTCTGAGTTGCTGGAGAAGCCCGAACCTTCCTTCACAAGGCATTGGCATACGCTAATGGGGAGGGAAGCAAGTCTTCACTTTGGCGTTTCTAAAGCTGTAGATATAGGGAAGCTGTACGCTTTGGCTTTGCACCCTTTGTTGTCAGAATGAAGGGAAAAGACACCCCAAGTTTTAACCGTTTCTCTTGTTGCATCTTCCCAAAGCTTCATTGGCCGAAATGAAAGAGAGCAGCATTTCTTCCTGCTCTTGGTGTGAGGAGCCAGGCTGCTTCCCTTTGCTCAGTGGGGAATCCGGATTTAAAGGGCTCTTTCTGGACAAGCAGCTTTTCTAAAGCAGACGCCAGACTCTGCAGCGAGTGGGATTCCTACATGGGCGAAACAGAATGAGTTGCTGCTGGTATTCCCCTTGCTGTATTTCAGCAATTCCCAAACAAGAGCTTTGTATGCTGTTCTTATAATTGTTAAAAGTTATGACATTTTCACCTTTTTCTCGCGAGAAATTCAGAATGTGAAATATTTTTAACTAATGGTTTTCATGATTAGTCTCTGAGGATTGTTTGTAAGTATAATTGCCAATAATGAATCAAAATATTGAAACAGCTTTCCATTGTTCCAGACCAATGATACCCCACTATAGTTTTGTTATGACTGAAAGTTAAATGTTTTGTCTGGAAAAAAGCCAAACTGTTTCAGTTTTTAGTAAAAAAGTAGGCTGAAATCAAAGTTTGCTGTCATACAGTAAAGTTCAAAATTATTGTTTTATGGATGACAGGAAACAGTGCTCTTTATTTTCCCACACTGCAGTTCATGTTGTTAGTCACATAGACATCTTTTCACTAATACTGTATTCTTTTATAGGTGTCTACATCTACTAAGTTATTTAGTAAATAAAATACATTTTTGAATGCTTGCCTTTAATTCTTTAGGCATCCAGACTACGTGAAGAAGCGCATAATACAGGAAGTGTCCATATGTCTGAAATTTGTACTGAATTAAAAAACTTAAGATCTTTAGTTCGAGTGTGTGAAATTCAAGCAACTTTGCGTGAGCAAAGGTAATTATTTATTTTGGGTGCATTTTCCTGATTTGCTAAATTTTCAGTTATGTTTGCTTGTACAACTTTTATATAAATGTAAGAACAACTGAGATGCATTCCCTAGTGCCATGATGGTGAACCTATGGCATGCGTGCCACAGGTGTCACGCAGAGCCCTCTCTCCAGGCACACGAGCCGTCACCCCAGCTCAGCTCCACCGTGCATGCGCGTGCGACTCCCGCCAGCCATCTAGTTTCCGGGTCTCTGCCACGCATGTACGGGGGGCAGTGCGCATGCGGGAATCGCATGTGCAGGGGGAAAGGGGTCATGTGTGCATGCGTGGGTTCATGCGCATGCACGGAGGGGCAGGCCACATGTGGGAGTCTCATGCACAGGGGCCACATGTGGGGGTTGTGCATGCATTGTTTTCAGCATGCAACAACAAAGGTTAGTCATCACTGCCCTAGTGCATAGTCTAGGAACTGTTAGAATTTAACACCAGGATGATACTGACTGCAACCTTGTGTGCTCCAGATCTTGAATAATAATTAAGTCCTTTATGTGTACCATTAAGGTAAGTCAACCATTTCGAGGCCCAATAATTTTATACTTTTTTTAAAGTTAAGAAAGCATATAAACTAGTTGTTTTTAGTATAACTGTTACTGAAGAGTCAATTTGGTATCTCGGGGGCTGATTGTATTATTTTCTTTTTATAGGATACTCTTTTTGAGACAACAAATTAAAGAACTTGAAAAACTAAAGAATCAGAATTCCTTCATGGTGTGAAACACATGGGTTGTGAATACAAGTCTGTAAAACATGTTGCCCAGTCTTAACTTTTTTGAGCTGCATTTGAGTAGACTTTGGACCATTGAGTTGGGCAATACAAAATAACATGGGAAAGGAGAAAGGAAGGAAGTCAGTCGGGAAAAATACAAGGATGATTTGTAGAACTCTTGAAATGTAGATTTCTTGTAGATGTATTCTTCATGTTGTAAATATGTTTTGTAGAGTGAAGCCATGGGAAGCCATGTGTATCGGAGCTTAGACATCCAAAAGTAATCAATGCTAAGATGGTTAAATACCTAGCCTTTTACATGTAAAACTGTTTGCAAAATTAGTTCTCTTTTTTTAGTTAATTTATCATTCAGAAATCTTTCATTTCCTGAAATTCAATGCAAGCACCAAATGATCTGTGTCTCCAAGTTTGAAACAGTTAGGGTAATATACAAAATATAAAATAACTGTTTCCACACTTGCACCTGATCAAAGAATAGTGCTTTTCCATTTGTTTTACAGAACAGTGTTTTTCATTTTCTGTGTTCATTTTCTGTGTTCATTTTCCTTTTAAATTCCTGATTCTGATTTTATCAGTTTTTTATTCTTATAATTTCTTCCTTTCATAAGGCACTGTTGCTATGACATTTTTCTATAAACATTTCATTCCTGTGTACAATAGCTTAAAATTGCAGTGATTGAGCATAACCTACTTGTTTGTATAAATTATTGAAATGTATTTGCATTTGCACCCTGAAAGAATGGACTGATACTACTACTGGGCACATGTGTTTGAAAGTACTTCCCTTTCTCAGCTTTATAAGAAAATAAGCCCAATGTCAACATTGTTGGGGGATGGAAAAGAAGGAAAAAGCTAGTCAGATGTGAATTGTATTTGTTGAAATAAACATGTTTTAAAACAAACAAAAACCACTGGTTTTCTTTTCCTTTGGTTGATAACATATTACAATTTGAACTGTTCAGGGACTCTTCATCAAAACTACTCTTGTTGAATACTTTTTTACTAAATTAAAATAAGTCCGCAAGGGAAGTTTTGTTTAAAAAAATGTAATTGTGTATAAACTATTTAATGACATTCAACAAGGATTAGTGACACCTCCCAACAGTTGTCATATGTTAACTCCTGGTTTTTAACCTGTCCTGCTATTATGACTTTTCATTTCAAAGGATGGTTGTGTTGTAGGTAACTGTTCAAGTCTGGTGCTGACTGTTCTTAGCCATCACAAAATGCTGACTTTGTGTAGTTGGAGTGTCTCACTGTTTGAAAATGGGAAAGCTCAGCTTTGTATATTTCCTAAAGTATATTAAAAAAAATAAAAAGAAACCATTGTTTTTAGTCTTCATACATTCCTAAAGTCTGTCTTTTTAGAAGTTTAGGTAATGCTGAAAACCATCTGTGCCACTGTTGATATATTGATTTAAATTTATTCAAAGATGCAACTGTCTCCGAAAAACAGATTCCTGCTAATTTATGTATGCCTCCTAATGTGCCTATAAATCTGTTGTCTAACCTTTTTGTCTTCTTTATAACATGCTGTAAAATGACAACTCTATAAAATGACTTCTCTTGATAGAGACCTCAAAGATGATGTAATATTTCCAGAAGTTTTAAAGGCAGAAAAGAAAAAGTTATTTTTGTAAAAACAAACAAACATCTTTTTAGCACCATTTACTAATCTACAATTGCTTTGTTTTAAGAGCATAAAACGTATTATGTATAACCTGGTCTGGTCATGAAGTCATGTTTGCTTTATGGAAATTGAAAGTGTTTTAGTTATACAATTAAAATTATGACTAGGTGGGGTAATAATGTAACAATATACCAGATTAGCAAGAAATCATAATTTATATATGTTACGGAAATATATTAATAATAGTTAAAATAGAAAACACAGAATTCTGGTGTTTCAATAAAGAAGTGTACCATGTTTATTGGTCAGCTTCTAAGTGCTACTCTGTTCTTTGGATCTCAAGGGTAGATTCACAGGGCAAAGAGGAGTTTTCTCATTCTAAAGTTATTAGATTTGTTCTGTTCTGAACAAGCAATCAAAATTTCATGTAATATTTATTAGAAAAATGCTAACAAGTTTTTCATTTTCATTGCATCTTTTTTATATTGTGGCAACCCAAACTGGATGCAATATTCGAACTGTGGTCTTACCGAGGCATTATAAAGTGCTGCTAACACTTCATGTGATCTTGATTTTATCCCTCTGATAATGGCAGCCTAGGACTGTGTTGGCTTTTTTGGCAGCTGCCGCACACTGCTGACTCATATTTAAGTGATTGTCCACTAGGACACCAAGATCCCTCTCACAATTACTGCTATTGAGCTAGGTACCACCTATACTATATTTGGTCTTTCTTGCCTAAATGTAGAACCTTACTTGTCTCACCATTGAATTTAATTTTGTTAGATAGGGCCTAATATTCAAGTCCGTCAAGATCCTTCAGTGTCTTGAGCCTATCTTCTGGAGTACTGGATATTCCTGCCTGCTTGGTGTTGTCTGCAAATTTGATGAGTTCCCCCTCTGTCCCCTCATCTAAATAATTCATGAATATATTGAAGAATACTATTTCTAATCCTTCCCTCCATATACGTAGATGCAATTCCATTAAGGACTACATGTTGAGTGTGGTTGGTCAGCCAGTTATGAATCCATCTGGTGGTGATGCTGTCTAACCCATAGTTTTCCATCTTATCAAGTAATAGGTTGTCTACTTTATCAAATGCCTTACTGAAGTCCAAGTAAATTATATCCACAGCATTTTTCTGGTCCACTAGTTTTGTCACATTGTCAAAGAATGCAGTAAGTTTTGTCTGGCATGTTCTGTTTTTGACAAATCCCATGTTGGTTTCTGGTTATAATTTTGCTTGCCTCTAGGTGCTTGCAGATTCATTGCTTGATTATCTTTTTCAGAATCTTCCCAGGTATTGAGGTCAGGCTGATAGGTCTGTAGTTTCTTGGATCCTTTTTTGGAGATGGGAACCACATCAGCTCTTTTTCAGTCATCTGGTAGTTCCCCTGTGCGCCAGGATCTTTGAAAGATGGTTCAGTGGTTACTACATCACATCTGCCAGTTCCTTCAGAACCTTTGGGTGTAATCCATGTGGTCCTGGTGATTTGAACTCATCTAGACTGGATAGGTGTTCTGTTATTGTTTTCTTCCCTATTTTGACTTGTATTCCTAATCTGTCTTTTACGGTACTGTTTTTGATAGGTTGAACTGTTTTTTTTTTCCTTTTGCGTAAAGACAGATGCAAAAAAATGAGTTAAGCAGTTCTGCTTTCTCCTTGCTGCTCATCACCTTGCCATTTTCTCCCATTAATGGACCAATCATTTCATTGACTTTTTTCTGGTTTTTTACATGTTGAAAGAAGCTTTTTTTTGTTATTTTTTACTTTTGTCACAAGTCTTGCTGTATTCTGCCTTTCTAATGAGTTCCCTCTTTCCGCTTTTTATACTTATCCTTTTTTTCTTTCAGTTTATCAGAGAGTTCTTTGTGCAACCATGCTGGTTTCATTCATTCATTTGAATGATTGAGGGTTTAATGACTGAAGTGCCAAACAAAGCCTAGTGTAGCTCTCAAGCTGATTGAAGTTGCATATCCCTGCACTATCTTGTAGTATGGACAGTCTTTTTTAATACTTAAAATGCTCAAAATCTCAGACAATCATTAAATCTCACAAATTTGTGTTTCTGACCAAAATCTCATATAAATTCAGGTGAGGACAGAATTTCCTGAGACTTGTTGGCAATCATCTCAGCTTGTTTTTTTTAATGTTGGGTGTTGTGGATGCCATCTTAGGATAAAAAATATGATTATTGCATGTGCCATGATGTCAACCCCTGGTTTCTTTTGTCAAGTTTGAAAAGTTTTTTTATTGATATTTGTATTTTGTTTATTGGTCTTTTGCCTGGTTGTTTAATTGTGAGCCACCCAAAACTACAAATGTGAGATGGGCAGCTATACACGTCAAATAAGTAAGGTTGGATGATCTGGGTATTTCTGGAAAAAGCAAACATGACATGAATCAATCTACCTTTCTCTACATGAACCTCATCTCTGGCTAGCATATATACTGTATATATTTCCTCCTATGATTGGGGCCTTGACAAGGCAAAGGGGCTTGTATGGTCTATTCCTTCCACATGCCAATAAAACCTCAAAAATGGCCCTCATTCCCCGGAGACCCCAGGGCAACTACCCACAGAAGCAGGAAGACCTGCCCAATGGTGAAAAGAAGGCTTTTCATGGTGAAAATGGAGTTCCAGAGTGATGCACGCTCCTTCCGGGGGCTCCTTTCTCTTCAGCAGAGTCCTTGAGGAAAGGCCTTTCCTGGTGAAAATGGAGCTCTGGAGTGACGCACATGTCTCTCCCAGCATCCATTCTTGGCAGCAAAGGCTTTTTTCAAAGATGGCAAAAGGCTTTGCAAATGCAAGGAAAACTTCAATGTTTCAGGCCTTTCCTCCATTTGCAAAGCCTTTTGCTGCAGATCTTGTCCAGGCCTCCCTTTGTAGATAGCAGAGGCCTAAAGTACTCTGAGATGACGAGAGATCAGTAGCATGAGATCTTGTGCTACTGATCTTGTGTGATCTTGCAGTACTTTAGGCCTCCATTCTCGGCATACTCAACGCAGGTCTGAAGCCCTGAAACAGGCCAAGAACTTGCAAGGTGAGTACAATATCCACAGGCCTAGTGCCTATGCGTGCGGGGGGGGGGGGGCACAATAAATGTTGCAGTGTCTCTCTGGTCCTTTGTAAGGGCGAACAACTGCCATGGTGCTGCAACATTCATGTTTTTGGGATTGTTTGTAAATGCTAGGAGGAACTTATTGCGTAACTTCAAACGTTAGCTAAGAGAATGCTCGTAACCCAGGGATTACCTGTATGTGTTAATTGCTGTGTTCAACAGCAACTCAATACTGCTTATCGTGTATTTGGGTTCTTATTGTATGTATGTCTATTTTCCCCAGTTTCACCACATCCTGTACTTTTAATAAAGCATCCAGATCTACACACATGATCTGTTTTATTGGAGGATATGTGGGTTTAGCTGCATGTCAAGCTGCACACAAAGTAACATGTAGTGAGGACAGAACACTGTGAACTAAGAAAATGAACTAGGGTGGGGAGAGAATAATTAAAATCATAGTGGAAATGCTGACTACCTGTACTCAAATTGTTTTTGCTTCGCACAGGTTGCTCTTGGAAAGTGAGGGAAGCCATATGTCAACTCCTAAAGTTGCCATGTTGTGGAAGGGGTGGGAGTGCATTCCACGCATACTTTCAGCTAGAGTTGGATCTCAGATTACGCAGCAGAGTTGGGAGGGGTGCACCTCATTGCGGAATGTGATTTATGACACAGACTCAGGAGAGAAGGAACAGGGGTAAAGTTCAGCTATAATTCAAATAAGGCACAGATCTGACTGCAAAAAGGTATTTCCAAAATAAATGCTCCTAATAAATGACTAATTTTTTTTTAAATTTGGCTCGAGTCTCATGAATCAATTAGGGCATTTTTTGGAAACCTGACAAACAGTTCATAGTTCACCAATTGAGTCCAGTTCTTTTGTTTTGGGAAAAGACTGCCACTCAAACATTTCATAACTTGACCTTGGTGTGCCTGGATGCTCGGCATGAAATCTGCGCACTGATCTAGCTGCTTTTACATCCATTACTGCCACCCATTCAGCATTGGCTAAAGGGTAGCCTCTCCATAAACCTAGATACTGCAGATCCTCTATGGTATAGGGAATCTCCTTAATTTCATAGTGCTCCTCTCCTTTGACCAAAATGGGAGGAGGAGGAGGAGGCACTTCCACAGCAGGTCTTAACCCTGAACTGTGGAAAGGTTTCAGCAAGTTGCAGTGAAACACTGGGTGTGTCAGCGTTCCAAGTATCATGCAGAATTAAATCAGAGTCCAAGGCAAAACGATCCTTAAAGTTCCAATTTAATAAGTCAGACATCTTAGCACACATTGTGGAATCCCAATACTGGATGTTACATCGGATTCCAACCCAGTTGAAAGTTCATGATCTTGTCCCCACACCCACAAATCCATCACATGGTCCAATCTTCTTCTTCCATGCTGGCATCTCCACCCAGCTGGTTCCGGTCAGGTTCAAAGATGTGGNGAAGAGAGAGAGAGAGAAGGAAGGAAGGAAGGAAGATAGATAGATAATAGAATGCTGAAGGATAGAAGAAGAGAGAGAGAGGGAAGGAAGGAAGGAAGGAAGTAAAAAAAGAGGAATAACAGACTTATATACCGCTTTACAGTCCTTTTACAGCCATCTCTAAGCAGTTTACAGAATCAGCCTCTTGCCCCCAACAATCTGGGTCCTCATTTTACCCACTTTGGAAGGACAGAAGGCTGAGTCGACCTTGACCCGGTGAGATTTGAACTGCCGAACTGCAGCGAGCAGTCAGCTGAAGTAGCCTGCAGTGCTGCACTCTAACCACTGCGCCACCTCGGCTCTTGTTCATTGATTGTTTCAAGCAGGGGTCTTGAAACTTGGCCCCTTGAAGACTGGTGGACTTCAATTCCCAGAATCCCTCAGCCAGCCATGCAACCTTCTACAAAAATGTGTATATAATATGTTATGAAAGCCGACTGCTGGGATATTAACGCTGTATTTTTTTTCCCTTTTAATGACCCCATCATCCCTTGCGGGGTGGAGTCGGGGCAATTGAATGAAACTGTGTATTTACTAGACAGATGCCCTCCCTGTTTTGTAGCAGATATATTCTCAGTGAGAGAAATATCTGTCTCTACCTAGGATCGAACTCAAAACCACCTGATTGTGAGGCTAGAGCGCCACCTCTAGGCCACCGCACTACTCTGGGATTAACTCTGCATTTCCTCCTCAGAAATTAAACAGCAATATCAACGCCCTCCCTCACTTGGACTGTCCATCCAAATCGAGTTTGGTGACGACTGCTTTAAAGCCTCTACAGCAAGATGCACTTTTCCCACAAATAGCCACCAAAACCTTTCAGTCTGTGACAACTCTGCATTCGGTAAGTTTCCTCCATGATGAACCAAGGCCCTAAAAGTAAGAGAATAAAAATATCAAGCTCAGGAAAACAGGCGTCTGGGCAGTTGAAATGAGCGTAGGTTTATTGTATGTTAATGCTCTCTACAAGAATCTGAACTACTAACAGTCAAAGCAAATAGGCGGCAGATAAGAGTCGATGGAATTCATGGTGGGCTGGGCTTAGATCTCTTGTAGGCACAAAGGGACTCCAGACAGATGACAAGATGAGAGGTAATTGGCATTGTCTAAAGCAGGGGTGTCAAACTCAAGGCTCGCGGGCCAGATCCAGCGTGTGATATGTTCTGATCTGGCCCGTGGGACTGTCCTGATCTACCCAGCGCGAAGAGGAAAGGTGAGGCCAGCATGACTTTGACCTGGTCTCCCCAATGCAAGGAAGAAACATGCCAGCAGTTTGGGGAGTGGCGTCAATCTGGCCACGCCTACCCAGTCAGCCAATGCCCGGATGGCTCCATGAGGTCAACCATAGCCCTGATACAGCCCTCAATGAAATTGAGTTTGACATCCCTGCTCTAAAGCATGGGTGTCAAACTCATGACATCATGTCACCATGACGTGACCTTTCACGACATTTTTCCCCTTCACAGAGCTGGGGTGGGTGTGGCCTGCCAGTTTCACACCCCTGGTCCAAAGGCACAATGTCTAACAGGACAATATTTTGGCCATATCATGTGGGTGGGGGCGGAATTCACTGGAGAAAGCAATTATGCTTGGAAGAGTTAGCGGTAGAAGGCTTCCAAAGAATGCGGTGGCTGGACACCATCAAAGCTGACGCCAGCCACCGTATAGAGAAACTCAATATCGCCAGGATAAAAAACAAAGCATCAAAATCAGAGGTGGTATTCTACCGGTTCAGACAGGTTCGCCTGACATGGTTGTGGAAATCGTGGGTAGAATACCACCTCTGATTTTGATGCTTTGTTTTTTATCCTGGCGATATTTTCCCCTGAAAGTTGGTTTCTGAGCCCGGCGGAGTAATGAATAAATCACAGAAATAATGAAGTGGCTTTAAGAGAGAAAAGAAACAAAGCTCTTGCAACTTTGCAGGATAACCGATCTCAAGTCCAGCCGTTTCCTACCACCGTCTCTGAAATCATCCCCAGAGGGCTGAGCAGTAAATCTGGAGACATCGAGAAGACTCACAACCTCAAGTTCCCACTAACTTCAGCAGGTACAAGTCCTAGGATAAATGCTAAAGGAAAAACAGCAGATAAACCATCCAATTTCTGCACAGACCTTTCCCTCCAAACGGGATGATTATAATGTCATGGAAAACCAAGAAAATATCATTTAAAAGCAACTGGCTGAAGAGGGGGATCGTATCTCCTTTCCTAAAAGTTGAAGGTTGCCTTCAGTCCTACAGAACCAGCTTTCAAGTTTCTTTAGGGCGTAAAAATACAGATCTTAATGTTTAGAAAACTAAGCTGCGAAACAGAACTTTTGATAAGCAGGGTAGTTAGGATTTTGAAGGCTGGGATTATTCTGAGGATGGACGGGAGTTTCAACAGAGTTGAACAGGATATTAGAAGTCTTCTACCATGTTTCCCAAAAATAAGACAGGGTCTTAATTTCTTTTGACCCCTGAAATAAGTACTTGGCCTTATTTTCGGGGAGGTCTTATTTTTTTTGAGGTGCAGGAGGTGGCGAGCGTGGTCACCTTACGGCTGCTCCTATGTTGCAATATTTTCAGGGAGGTCTTATTTTGGGGGAAGGGCTTATTTCAGCACATGCACTCAAAAACCCGATTGGGCTTATTATCTGGGGAGGTCTTATTTTTGCAGAAACATGGTAGTCCAACCCCCTGCTCAAGGAGGAAACCCTACACCATTTCAGAAACTGTGGTGATAAGTTTGAGGGCAGAGGATGGGAAACAACAATTTACATGTTAATATATCGATTTAGATAAACTATGTGTCAGCGTTCCAAGTATCATGCAGCATTAAATCAGAGTCCAAGGCAAAACGATCCTTAAAGTTCCAATTTAATAAGTCATACAA